TCATACCAAAGCTGAATTCTGAAACGAAATAAAAATAAGTATTTATAAAGTACATGTTTTTTTAAAGTACATTTATAAAGTACATTATGACGTGTAAAGTGGTCTTTTCAGTTTTACACGTGCGTCAGAAAAACGCCAACTTTAAGTAAAAATGCTTTATTTTCGCCGTAATTAAAAATTGTCTTAAATTAATAAATGCAAAATTTGAAACAGTTTTGATTGCTGATTTAAATTCATGTAATAGGTTTGAATACAAATTTTTTAAATAAAAATATGCTTATTTTTGGTCACAGTATGGCAGAAAAATGAAACTGGTAAGTGGTTAATATAATATTTTTGTATGCTTATGGGTTCGTAATGGGCTGAACACACACAGAACCGATGCTAGTTTGATAGAATTTATTTTTGTAAAAGGACACTTTACAGTTTTTCCGCAAAAGTACTCGCACAACTCTTGTCAACATCACAGAGCACAATCAGTAGTTACTACCTCAAAATAAGAACGTTAAACACAGCACAATGGAAAGTGCATCTTAAGAGAGAAACTCGCACGAAGATTTCTCAGTACTTCGAAGTCTACTCTGAAGTAAAAAACCTGAGAAATGATGCTCTTTTTGGTCTTTTGTAGTGTTCCTCCAGTCGACGAGGAATCTCAAATACCTTCCTTTTCTCGAAATTAGTTAAAGTTAAATACGGCCGGATGCTGTTGCAATTACAGTTATTCAATTACAGTAGCAATAACAGTTATACAGTTAAACCAAAATTTCGCGATATGATCACTGTGTTCGGAGATTTTTAGTGACTTCTCGCCAGATTTGTCGACAAAAATCAGTCGTTAAAGCCAGCTTGGAGATAGCTATTTACCTCAATGTTAAATAAGCTTTTCTTGAAGCAATTCATGTTACACTGTAAAATCATAGCAATATTGATAACCTCTGACAGAAATGCAAATCTCACATCTTTATTTCATAGAATTTATCAAACATAATTTACTAATCAAGTATTATTTAGCACCACTTAATCCAGTGGTGTTATATTACTGGTGTTGGTGCTCAGTTGCAGCTAGAGTAGAGCACTAGGAGCTGGTATACTCACTACATAACTACTGCTATACTGCTATTCATTGCATAACACCACTAGAGCAGCTCAGCTGCTCTTGAGTCGGTTGATCAGACGAACATCAATTTAGACATTAAGTATATAACGCAGTTGCATAAAAATATAAAATAATCCCTAAGCATAAAGGATGGTACAAAAGGACGAAGTTACATTAAAAATAACGAAGAATGCAAATGCATAACAGTATTCATAAAATACAATACAAACGTTACGGAAGGGTAAAACATAGCCCATGATACTACGTAATATATAGCACACGCTGATCACTAGAATAGAATGTGGTAAAGTTGAATAAAAGACAAGTATTACAATGTTTCTATTTCAATAAAAATAACTATCGTGTCACGCAATGTGACCTAAGAAAATTATAACAGTTTGGATTATTATTTAAAAATATATAGAGAGATTATCGAATGGAATATTACAGGTCTTGTTACACTAGAAAAGGGAGCACGCATATATTCACTACATATTACACTACTTACTATGCAGTAATATACAATAAAAAGCGCAATAACAGTGCAGTACAAGATACACATATATTGTAACGCAGTGCAATACATAATGAACTATAAATACATAGAATTTGCAATACTACTATTATAATAATTCGCAGTACAAAATATCAATGTCTAGCACTCAGCCTGTAATCAGGCTGGGTGCTAGACATTTCGACGCCCGGTGCAATATCCGTGGTTTGTAAATTATGCTGCCCAAATGCCTGGCAAAATTTTAAAAATTTTGCTGCTGCTAAATCTCGCCGCCCGGTGCAGCAGCACAGGTTGCACTAGCTTTAGCGCCAGCCCTGACTTTGATGCCTAAAAAAATTATTTATACAATTGGAAGCATTGAAACAGCTCTATGAATAGTTACAGATGGAATAAATATTGAAAGAGTATTGCATTAAACAGCAAATTACAGTGAAAAGTTGGTTCGGTTTACTTGATTACAGCAAAGCACTTTAGGGCTATCTGCTTTGAGGAAGGAATGCCTTCCTGGAAAACCTTTCTAAGTAAAATTGGCTCGTATAAAAGTTACACATAGGGAAAACCACGAAAACATCCACGCAGCCAGCCCGTTGGCCGGGATTCGAGTGTTCAGCGGCTTTCCAATCACATGAAAACCGTCGTAAAAGACAGTTATTAAGATACTGCGACTATAATATCACACAAAATATCAAAAAATATCACACATACTATCATATCACACAAAATGTTTTACTAAGAAACGAATTGAACTTTTACTAGAAGACATGTTTAAAGCATCGAATGAAATGTTAATATGGACGTTAATCTACATAAATTTGAAAAATAGATAAATAAATAAAAAAATACGATGTGTGTGGGAGAGCACAGTCAAAAACATAATGATAAAGGGGTACCAGTATTTCCACAGTCATACATATTGCTGTTTCTTTAAGACAAATCAATGTAGATACTCAGGGAATGGCTCATTGCTAGTTAAGAATTGTGAAATACTGCCATTTTAATCAAGTCTTGTGAATTTGTTGAAAATATCTGTAAGTTCTTTTCCCAGTATCTGAAGTTGACCAGGTACTTTGACATTGCAGCATAGGTTGTCAGAAGATATTTTTAAAGTGAGTCATTGATTACGAAATATATAGATTGTGAATAAATAGATTGGAAGCAATAGCTTTTGCAAGCTCATCAGGCATATTATTGTCCAAAATACCCGTGTGTCCTGGTATCCAGCATAAATATGAATGACGCGTCGAAGACATTGCAAGAACTGCTGTACAAGTTGAATTTTCAACCAGTAACTGCTGCAATGCTTGATGCGGAATCTGTATACATGATACAGATTTGTTTTATACTTTGTGCATTAGAGACAGCTCCTGAAATTGCTAGACGTTTTGTCTAAAAGAAGAATTATATACACTTGGTTTACGTTACCACACATAAAAAAGGATTATAATTTTGAAAAGCACAAAATGCATTTCGAGTTCCGGAATCTGATCTACAGCCATCTATCTATATTGTAGTGTGAGTGGTAGCTAGTGCTTTTAGGAAGATATCTTCGAAATTTTTGAAGAGGGTAGAATGTGGTTGCAAAGGCACTTGGCGCTTCTCAGAATCCGAATGAATGAGCTGACGTTGCCAAATTTTAGTATTTTGATTAATGCAAACGACACGATTTACTGCTGCAACTCTTTGGACGGTTAGATATAGAAGTGGAATGGCAAAAGGCTTTGAAGTGCAAACGTGGGCGAGGTCCTGTAACCTCGTGCAGGAGGAAGGATCTGTGGGCACAATTTAATTGATTTTTCATAAAAACTGTTAGATTAAGTCCCCAGATAGAGACACCATGTGTTGCGTTTTCACTACGCACTAACACAATATGAGAAGTAAAGAGGCGGTTCCCCAAGCAGAAGCAGCTATTCTGGCAATTAAATTAGCTAAGTTTGCTTATAAGGTCTTCTTAGAGAGTCCTCGTGGTGTAGTGGTCAGCACGCTAAGCGCGTTATTGAGAGGTCCTCGGTTCGATTCCCGGCGAAGGCTTTGCTAATTTTTCATCTTGCCTGCTTCCCCCCCCCAAAAAAAACCTAATGTCACTACATGCTTTTAATTTTAGAATGTGCGGAAGCCAAGAGAGTTTGTTATCTAGTGCTATGGTTGAATACTGTAACTTCTTGACTGTTCTGATTGTTGAGTTATTTATTTGGGTACAGGGAATTCTTGATTGTTTGTGTCCATACCAGAACATGATAACTTGTGCCTTCTGAATAGCTATTTTTTATTTATGGTCTCTTGTACAGTTGTTAAAGTTGCTAAAGTGTACTTGTGCTTTGTCTTCCAAAAATTTCCTACATCAATATGTCATCAGCATACGCCTGTATATGTACATCTTCTTAATTATGGAAGATTTACAAGGTTGTGTCGGCGACTAAGTTCCACAGAACCGGACCAAATTTGATCGAGTATTGTGGACTGCACAGAATTCTTCTGAAATGCTCTTTTCAGATCTTGGAGGATCCGGAGAGACATTTCAATAGCTGCATTTGGGTGGCCTAAGGAAAAATACAGAGGTAAGTTTCAGTATGGCGAGTAAACTGGTCTATCAATTCGAGTGAATGTTTTGACATCACACATGTTCGAAATGGATGAATATTGTTATCCATTAGCAAAAATTTGGGCCAACAGCACCTCCAAAAGCCTTACATAAGACCTCGTACACATATCTCTGATCGGTTACAGAATTTCCGTCAAAGATATGCAATTCGGTGCAACAACGGCCATTTTCAATCATTCCACTCTAAATCATTAATTCACTTCCAGGGGAACAGGATCTTTCACGAATACGAGTTAGTTTTTCGCTTAAAATTCAATCTCATAAAGCCTTCTTGCAGTAGCAGAACGGAAGATTTGGGTTTCTATGGTAAACTGAAGGTCTTAAACAAATCCTTTAGTCGCTTCAAGGTTTTTTCAAAACGACAATGCTAGAAAACAATTTTCGGATGCAGTTGCTGCTCTTGGTCTCCTTGACCAGGCTGTCTACTACTTGATTCATTGCTTGAAACTGATGAATTCCACATTCACTTACAGTTCTAGGTATGGCATTTTGATGGATATTCAAATATGGTTGTTCTCCATTTGTTTTTGCCTCCTGTTCGTGTATGCCAATTAACTGCTACATTTGTCCTTCACTTCGCTGCCTTTAATTAATGAATGCTCTTAGAAACCACATTAATTTTAAACAAAACTATACATCCAAATGTCTATCGCCTAATTGGCATTTTTCATGCGCTAACATGTGCCAGAAGCAGAAATTTTGCATTCAGTTGAAGATAGTTGTCATAAATAACTACAACACTGGGAACTGTTTAAAAATTTTAATCAGCGAGCATATTTTACTGTTGTAGCTTTTTTTTTTTTTTTTTTTTTTTTTTTTTTTTTTTTGACGAGTAGTATATACATGCGAAATATTCATACCATACACAAATTTTGAAATTTAACGTTTGCATAATTTCATAAAGGATAAATAATACAGGTTACAGTGTTATCCATAACTGCGAATAATAATTATTGACAAAATATTACTGAAACAAAATGTTGCGTATTTGTATAAATACTGAAAGTAGATTATTTAAATCGGCGAAATTACAATAATATTATTTTAAGTGCTTTAAAATATCAGCTTTGTGGATTATATTATGGTAAAGAAATGTAAATTTTTGCGTGGTACAGTTAGTCCTTTGTATTTAGAAGGCTGCGTGTAACCCTTTCGGTGATAAATATACTTACATTTACCTCTTCTTGTTTCATTCTGGCAAATGAAATAACAAAAACTTTTTCTCAAGTCATACATAACGTGCCATTTTCTGTTTTAACTTCACTGCTCCAGGTACTGCTTTCATTTCTTAGATATTTTTCATCTTTTCAAAGTTTTCTTATTTGTTCCTAAGATTTTTTTAAGATCCCATTGCCAGAGAAATGACAAATGCCATGAACTAGTTCGCTTTTGACAGTTATTAGCTTCTTCAGTACACTTCCTTCACCTGAAGCAATAAGTTGTATAAAATTATTATTTTTCTCATGAAAGACTTAAGTAAAATGTTTGTATCTTTACATTAACAAGATAAAGAAATTGTTAAAATAATTATTTAAAATAAGCGAACTATTTGAATGGCTGAATACAGTAAGAAATTACATCAGTTGGAAACACATATTCCATTAGAACATGAACTTTTAAACTCTCTTTCAAACAAAATATTTATTTAGAATCTAAAGGAATAATATTTTCAAAGTTAGAATTAAAAGTCCAATATCCATAGCTGCTATCTCACACGGAAACAAAGAAGATAAGACCGCAGCTTGTCTTAAACAAACGTAGTGCTCAACTTTTACGAATTCACAAATGACGCCTCATTTAATGGAAGAAACTTCACATCAGGCAAACAAAATAGCATATTGTGGGTTAAATATTCAGCAGGCGGCAAATTCAGACAATTTGCTAATTATCAAAGAAATCGTAAATCTCGTAAAATCTGAGCAAAATCAACATCGTTGTTCAAAAATAAAAATGAATTCGATGGGAACAAGATAAAATAGGCATACACTTAACTGCAAATAAACTTCTCAAAGAACACTGAACCATGATTCTGACTTGCGCATCTTATTAGATCACAGTCTAATCCAAAATCTTTGAGATCTCGATTCTTAATTAAGATTATTAATCAAAGTGTCATTATAGTTTGCGGTTAGTGAATTAATGAATGCGAAATTGTCTATGTGGCAGAGCAGTTCTCTCACGTACCGAAATCCGTATAAGCGATATCTTCTTGGAAAAAATAACAATAAGGTAAATATCCAACAAAAATATTGCGTACTAGAAAATGCACTAGTTCGGAAAAACAAAAAATATTAAATTTATAGCCGCTTTTATTTAACTTTCTTTAGGGCATTTTACGATATTATTGTCTTATTACCGTAGATGAATTCAACGTAAAAGTAGTACTGAATTACCATTTGTCCGATAAATATAAAAAAAAGTCAAGGCTCATTTTTCTGTAGTCCTTTAAAGCTTTCATTTTAGTTATTTCGTATATTATTTCTGTATAGTTATCTCATTTACTTAATATGTTCTTAGATATATTCTTACACAAAGAATACGATTGAAAACATTGATTTCATTATTAATTACATTATTATTTATAAAATATTTATTATTTATTAATTAATTAATTTATTTAATTATTAATTTATTTTAGAAGATTTTGCTAAATTAACAGCATTTAAAAATAATAAAATCTGTTGCTGATGAATACTTTGTTTTCCCCTTGTCAAAAGTCAAAAGCTGCAAAATTTGAATTTTGTTGTTATTCATCATCATTGCTTGGAATATTCTTTCAGATAAATGAGGTAGATAAAATGCAGTTTTAATTAATGTTGTTAAATTACAAAACATTTGCTTTCCAACAGTATTTTTACTTTCAAAAACATTATTTCTGAAAATCACAAATTTTTGGATGGATATTGGATTACAACAAAGCACGAGAAAGCTACCTGCCCAAGGGAACAGGTGTCTTTCTGAAATACTTTTTGAAGGGAACTGGTTTCCATTTACTCTACACATGAGGAAAATCACGAAAACTTTCATGATAACAGCCTGTTTTGCGGTATTTAAACCTGCTTCGAGCTACCAATGTTCAGCGATTTTACTACTCGGCCGCTGGTGGACCGAACCAAAGCTATTATGCTGTAAGGTGTGCTCTTGCATGACGTCACTGACTCCTAGTTTATTTAAAATCAACTTTTCCTCTTCTTTCTTTGTGTGTTCATTTCTCCCACTTATATATGTAGTATCTGTAAGTATGACACAACCACCAGAGGGCCTCACCGATGCGCCAGCAGCGAGGTGAAAGAGGAGTATGACAGAGACTCTTCTGACAGAGTATATTAAAAAAACCTTGTGCTATCCCACGTGAAGGTGGATGTCTGTCTTCACGTGAAGGTGTAGAATAAGGAACTGTAGTTTTCCACGCGAAGGTGGTAAATTGGACTGTTTAATACATCAGCAAATGCGAGTAGGCACTAATCGGTTATGTGATAAGACTGGTAAAAGCTATACAGAATCCTCTCTGTATCAAACGGCACTTGTATTTAATCTAATTTGTACCTTTTCTGATTATCTTTATTAAATGTTCTGTGGTGTGGAAAACAAAGTTGGGATTGTTAATTAGCATCTTCAACTCCCCTACTACATATATTTAAGTGAAGTCAGCGTTGGGAAGAGCCTAACTTTGTTTGTCTACTGACCTTGGACCGAGTAAACTTCTGTCAGTGCTTCTACAACTTGTAATAAATACTGTCAAGATACATGGGTATTTTCTTCAGAAAGACTAGAAAAATTCAAAGTGTGATTATAATGTAAAATTTATTCGTCTTATACTTCTTTCTGAAACTTCACCCTAGTCCCTAGACATATGCCTATGCGCATTAAAATCGCACACTGCGTGACTTTTATCTTCTCAACTGGTATTCTTTATAAGAAACAAATACGTATTTCGTAAAATATTCCCTCATCACTTTCATTTTATTTCCTGCTGATGAAACTGGAACACGGAAGTGATATTCATTTTCTTAATAATCTAAATTTAGATTTACTTTTTTTGATAAGATGAATGTTAAGAAGAGTAAACGTATCTTAATAAGAGATTTTGTATAACGCAATTAAAACAGATTTGGCCTCTTAAATGTTATGTGGTACTATGCTTAAAATAAAGTACAAGTCCGGATGTTTAACTAATTTTGTTACTTGGAGGGAAGAAAGTAATAGATCTGATGGTAAAAATACTGGAACACTAAAAATTCATAACATATACTAGAACTGGTTCAAAAGTATTAGCAGTGTTCATCCTGGATAGCAAAGAAAATTAACGTAATGTATGCAAAACCGTCATGACATCTTGTTTAAACCAGTAATGAACCAGTAATAAACTTCCTATATGCAACATTAATTTGTTTTTAATTAATAATAAAGTTGTGATTAAACATGTATTATTTTATGGAATGTATTAACATTATGCGTTTTATTTTTTACAGCCGTCTTAAAATCGCTAAAAGGGCACTTTTTAAGCAGAAGAAACAAATGATACAGTATCATAATAATAAGAAGCCAAGTCACTTTGCGTATGAATTAACGCCTCGCTCTTATCCATTAGTAGGAAAGCTTTGTTTTTGAAATTCAAAGCAGAGTTATTTTGATATATTAAAGCAGTGTCTTCCCAACTGATGTACGCGGCACACAGGTGTACTAAGAAATATTTAACCACAAAATCCTAGAACCACTTCCGATAGGTGTTACAAAACTTAAAATGATAATAAACTAAATGATTGTTTCTCGTACAAACTTTACATCGGCTACGATTCGAATTTAATTGCTACGATAATCTGAATGCAGATCCACAAAACCTGAGGTCGGAATGAATTTAATGACCTTTTTAATAATTTACCTACACGTCAACATCTCTCGGCGGCTCCCTCAACAATTACTGCAAGCGGGGAGGGAGGACTTTTACATGCAAGGCGACAGAAACGCGGTGCAATATGTTCAGAGCAAAAATTATCCTACTTTTAAACTATGTTGGTTACCATTTAACTTGCTTAACTTCTGCTTTGAATTATTATCATCACGAGTGAACAAGAAAAGAATACAAAACTTAACTCTGTAACGGTTACATTGTAAAACTAAAGTTCAAATCCATATACAAGAATAACTATAACAATCCAGATTTGTTGATTCGGCAGGGATTAATGTTTTGCCTTTTTACAAAAATAAATCTGTCATTAAAAAATTAATTTAAAAAAGAATGGAATTACCGTAACTAAGCGATACACGACCGCTAAAATTATTATTGAAGTAGGAAAAGAGATTAAAGACAATTCCACTAACAGAGCTATAAAACAGATCAAAATGAAGGAAAAGCGAAGGTCAGAAAGAAAATTATGCTAAATATAAAAATATGCATATAAAAAAGAGTATACGAGAAATGGTCGAAAAGGCTACGTACAAACGCCCTTCTCAGAAAGTCATTATTGATGAAATGATGACAGAGGACACGGATTGATAAGGTGGTGGTGGTGGTGTATTTAATTATGGCAAAGCACACGAGGGCTATCTGCCTAAAGGGACGGATGCCTTTCGTGGAGGACTTTCTAAGGGAAACTGGCTCGTATACACGTTACACATGGGGAAAACCACGAAAACGCCCATGCAGCCAGCCCGTTCGCGGGATTCGAACCTCGGACCGAACTACCAGTGTTCAGCGACTTTACCGCTCGGCCGCTGGGGGGCCGGATTGATAAGGAGGCTATCAGAATCTCATGTTTACACTTGGATGTTTTAGCTTCGTTTCTCGTTTGGCAATCAAGCTGTCATTAAACGGCGGAAAATCTATTTGAAGTATTCTCAGTTTGGTAACCTTCATAGATATTATTTAATGCTTTCATTTCAACATAATCATGAATTGTAAATATTTGTAAAGCATCTTGTATTTTATATTTTTACTTTATGATTGTATCTTTATTATTAAAGTTTTTGTATTTATTTATGTATTTATGTGTATTTTGTTATTTCACACTGATGACTTTCACACTACCCGTCTGTCCATGATCGTCTCCTTGCTTGGTCTGCGATGTTGGCCCCCCTTATTACCACCTACCTCTCTAAACTGATGATTGTACTACTGCGATGTGCCTTCATGGCAATTTATGGAGCCGGACAAGCGGCCATGTGCTGCATTCTGGCAATATACAAACAGTCAGTCAGTCAGTCAGATCACGTTGCTTCACTTCGATGATAACTGACGTTCCGTAACTCCAGTTGATGGAAAATGAGACTATGGAATTGTAAAAAATATTCTCGATAAAGCCTTTGGTTGGACATGATTTGTGATATCTACTGCTGCAACTAACCCAAATCACTAGTTATCAGTGATTCCATTTTACGACTGAAAGAAATTAAATATCTTTCGTTGAAATAAGTCCTCATTTAAGA